AATGTCCTCTGGCATTTATAATCGAGATGTAATGCAAGCATTACAAAAACATTTAATGTTCGCTCAAGAAATTACAGCAATACAAAACAACATTGTTCGTCAAACATTAGGATATGAAGTAACTAACCAAATAAATCTACACAAACTTATTGATCCTGCAGTCATAAGTTCTATGGTAGAAGATAAATTACATCAAATTTGGGGATGGTTCACATATTTTGGTTCATTTATGTCTGGAATTTTGGGCATTATTTTTACAATTAAAATTCTAACTATTATCATTAACTCTTGCATGAATGTACTTATTATATAATACATTTGGTTAGAGTTTAAGATTATTTTGTGGAATATTTAATAATATAACTCATTATTTTATGCACAAAAATCATCAACAACATTATAACACCAATAATGTTGAGCTGAATAAAATAAACACAGCAAACAATGATACAACACAAACACAATTAAAAGTTCACTCTTTCCTATATCCAGATATAAGTCACTCCACTCTGTGAGATGTCTGATGAAATTCTTGACATTCCTGTCTGTGTCTACAGAACTCCACAATATACAAAAAAACCAATAATGATATAAATCGATAAAGACATACAGAATGACACTACTAAATTCTACGTTTGGCGTTTTGGACAAACGTTCTACTTATTTCCAAAATCAACTTCAAATACTAGACATCAATTCATTAATAAAAAGTATCTAACAAAAACCCAGCACAGTGGGTGGCGGCACAGTGGGGTCGTGGCATAGTTGGATCCAGTATAGATGATATGTGACAGTGATTAAAATCACTATCATAAAAAACGCACGATGCAAATCTGTAGATAGTGTTTAATTAAAAAAAAAAAAATTTATTAAAATAGCATATTTTTGAATAGGGTAGCCGTTTGCGCATAGAAGATAGGTCGTCGGGACAAATTTTTTTATTTTATTTTATAGTACATACAATAAGCTTTAATTTGATATATGTTTAAAGGACGCAGTATTTCCGGAACATTTTCAAAAATTAAGTTGAAAAAGTTAGTTTTTGTAAAAAAGTTGC